ATTCGAGAAGGACTTCTTACTGGAACTAAAACGCACGGATGTACTGAACAAACGTGAGATTAAACTCTTTGTCAACAAAGAAAGGAGGATGGAGTTTGTCTTTACGTGAACAGCATTTGGTAAGTCAACTGCGTTTGTTTTTACATCTGCAGTAGCTTTAATATGCTTGTTTATATATTATTATTTGTACAACTTGTTTTTATGAAGATGGATTTTTGTTTGGTTTTATATGTGATAGGAACTATTGTTACGTCCAATGTTGCGCTGGGGACATATTTAGCCAGTGCCAGTGTTGCCAACTTGGCGACTTTCTCGATAAACTGGCGACTTTTTTTGTCAAAAGCTACTTGCGACAAATCTGGCGACTTTTTCTGGTGTTGTTGGAGACTTTTCTGGTGTTTTGACTCTGACGTGAAAGCACGTACCGTTCTGCACTGTCGTGAACGAGCAGCGGGTGCTGCCGTGAGCCGCCCCAAAGCACTCACAGGTGGTCAGTCTGACAGCAGCCTCGTGCAGCAGTCCCAGCTGCAGTCAGAGAAGAGAGGAGACGCACTCTCGGCGTATTCATGTATCTGCACTCTGCAGTTAGTGTATTTATAGGTGTTGAGCTTCATTTTTACACGAAACAAATAATAACCGTAGCTGTGTTTCAGCTGCAGGACAGCAGTGAAGGCCCAGGTATAAAATGCATGGCCTGCCACTGTTCAAACTCCATTCCATGAGTTTGCAACATTGGCTTTCTGTTATAAAGTCCAAAATCTAGATAACCCTGCTCACATCACTATGACAGCATCAGGGTTGTTTTTTCAGACTTTAAAAGAAAACCAGAGCCAAAGGAGACATACATACTTTTTTCACAGGCTGAGTAGCACTCATTGTGACTTGTAATGGTGTAATAATCTGATTATCTTCATCGCTCCACACTTACGGCTGCTGTTATAATTTTAAAACTGGGGAAGTAAAAGTAGCAGTACAGTTAGCAGGATGAAGCTGTTCTCAGTTCCTGCCAGCGTCATCTAGAGGGCGCCATATTGAAAGAAAAGACGTAAAACCACATCACTGCTCACAACCAGACAATTTGTTGATTATCATTAGCCAACAAGCCGACTTTGTACAACTTTTAAGTTGTGAGGGAGAGTAGACACTTCAGTAAGCATATGTGTGTGTGTGTGTGTGTGTGTGTGTGTGTGTGTGTGTGTGTGTGTGTGTGTATGTTTTACAGTACACAAGTGCAGGTTATCTTAAACAAGCTGGGAAAGCATACAGAGCACTTATCCCCACAGTCGGATACTTCGCATTGAAATAACTCAATGGAACAGAAAGATAAAGTCATCTGAAGGTAATTAGAAATGTGTGTGTGTGTGTGTGTGTGTGTGTGTGAGAGAGAGAGAGAGAGAGGGAGAGAGAGAGAGAGAGAGATATTTTCATGGTGTTTTATTCATGGTGTGAGACAGCTTAGGCCTTGCTCTGCTGTTATCTGGTGGCCTCCTAGTCCTCCACCACCACAATGGCTCCTGCTACCACATTCATCAACTTGACACTACACACACACACACACACACACACACACACACACACACACACACACA